ATAAATTTACAGGTGATCATGTATTGTGTTATATTATATTTCTGGAAAATTTAAGGAGTAGTTATATAATAATTTTGAACGATCTCGGGCGGTCAGATACTTATGACCGCTACTGTAACTTTTGGTCTAAATTTTATACACTACTTATAAGTTTATAAATTGTAAATTTTACATAATAATTTACATTAAATATAATATAGATACTTTATAGTAAAAAAGTAGAAAACACTAAAAAAAATTTTACTTTATAAGCTAAATATAATTTTTTAGTAAAATAATTTTATTTAATATTAATTCAAAAAATATAAGTTTTCTTTCTTTTTACTATAACTAATTTTTAAAGAATTTGTATTATTTAAAAAGTTTTTTTTTAATTTTGAAAATTTTGGTTAGAAAAAAAACAGTAAATAAAACTTATTTTTTCAATATTTCTTTTTTTTATCTTAATAAAAAGTAATATTGATTGAATAGTAATAAGTTTTTATTACTACTAAATAATATAAAAATAATATATAGTTCTAGTAAAAAAAACTGACAATTAAATAATAGTGAATATTTTACGTGATTTTTATTTAAAAAATCTTAAAATTTTAATATATTGTACTTTATGACATATACTTTAAGATATAATAATTATTTAATAATCCATTGTGCAATAATAATTTTTATCACTAATTCTATGCATTTCAAAATAGATTTTAAAAAATAAATATATATAAAAAAAATTTGATCAATTAGAAGGTTAAAGGGGGAACTTACAAAAGAATGGAACCAATTATCACCTGTACTTGTCGCGAATTTGGTAGCTAGCATGAAAAGACGTACAGCTGCACTTATAGAGTCAGATGGTGATTACACAATGTATTAATTTTAATTAGTTAGTTATGTATTTTTTAAATAAAAAAAATTTTTTAAATTTACTTACTTGTAGCCAGAGTTAGAGACGGTCATATACTTATAACCGCTACTGTATTATGATTAAAAATTAGTAAAAGAATTGTTATGTAACAAAAAAATTTAAATATACATATCCTATTGTTTTAAAAAATATATCTTAGATTATAATGATATTCAAAATTAATTGCAAGGATTAGAATTAATTTCAAAAATTACAGCTGATAAATATAGTATAATAAAAAATTAAGTAAATGTATAAAAATAAGTATTATTTTAAAGTTTTATTATAAGATTATATATAGTTAATTCTATAATAATTAAAGATGGTCCCCATAATTATTTTCAAATTTCAATTGAGTTGCAACTTAATTACGCCATAAGGAAATTTAATTGCGCCACAAGTTGCAACTCAATTGTGCCATTTTTTTCAATTGCGGTGACCATCTTTAATAATAATTATTATTTACAAAATTATTAATGTATTTAATTTGTGATATCTAGGTTTATTTGGATAAATAAATATTAAACATGAAAAAAATTTTTTGTTTATTGATATTAAAGTACCACACAGGAGATATTTCATTTGAACAAGATGTGATCTTTATAATGAGGAAAATTATATCATCTCTTTTTTTCAAGCTCAAGTAAGTGTAGAAATAAATTAGTAAAAATCTTTACGGCATGATGATGACTCGAGAACAACATCTTTATCTAATCAAACGAATTAATAGATATATATAATATAAAAAAAAGTTCTGTTACTCGATTCTTTGAAAAGTATCATACTTTGTTTTAGATTCAACATAAAAGAATTGCAACTTTATTTATAAATAAATTTTATTAAGGAGAATGAAATTGTTGAGTCCAAAGATAAAAAGCAAGATATTATTTATTAATAAAGTTTCCGTTAAAACATCATAATATAAGAAAGTAGAATAAGTTGCCATTTCAAAAAAAAAAACTTAGAACTGGTAATTGTATTGGGACTTTTAGGACTTTTAACATTTCTTGTTTTTGGAAAAAGGTTAGTTTAATTTCAACCATCTTAAATTTAAATTATCATGGCGTAGAATATTTGGTTTATTTTAGTTCAACAGTTTATTTTAACCGATGAAATATATTTATTTATTTATTAAGAGAGAAACAATTTATCCAAAAACGGTTAATATCCCGCGTGACGAAATTTTACCTTATTTTTTTTTTATTTATCACGTGGGTAAGGTGATATTTACTTTAATAAAGAATTGCAATAATTTGTTATATTACTCTATTATTACAAGACATTAAAAGAGGAAAGAAAATTATATTATATATTATATAATTAAAAATTATTATATTTAAATTTTGAACAAGAAATTATTTAATTTAAATTGCCAAGAAAGAAGAAACCAATAAAGCACCGATCATTGTCGTCAAACTAACTCCTTTGATGCTGGAGTCACCGGTTGGAGCAACTAATTCTTGAGCTAATTGATAATTGAAATCTTCTGGATCGGTATCTTCTGGTTTTCCAACTTTACCGTCCAAGAATTGAAAACCACATTTGAGTCCGATAACAAGTTTACCGACTTGTAAGAAAAGTGGAGGGATACCAAGTTGTCCTAAATATTCTACGGAATGATTTGTATCAGCGTTGAGGAAGTTAAAAATAGTGTTGACTATGGCTTTGTTGCATGGAGTGCAGATCTCTTTAGGTTCAGCAAAGGCGAGGGAATCAATCAAACCACCATCGATAAGCTTAAATGGAGGTTTAGGTAAGGCAGTCACTTTATCCAAAGTTTCGAATACACAGTACTCTTTTTTTGTGTCTTTGAAGCAGATCGTATCTCTAATCGGCGAATAGAATGTGACGACAGCAGTCGCGATTTCTATAATTACATTCTTCTCATCAGCCTTACAGCCATCATTTAAGGCTTTAAGAGAGGTGGCAACACCTTTGTCAGAACATTTAGGTGCAGCACAAACACCATCAAATACCGGTCCCAATACTGGAGGTATATTTTTAGCAGGATCTTGTAACATTTTTGGAATGGCAGTTGGATCGGCTAGAACCGGTAACAATGGCAAAAACGCTGTGATTGGTACGCATTCAAAGAATTCTGGGTTTGCTACGATGCTAAGTAAAGCGGCTTGACAACTTGATGATAATGATTCGATCAATTTGATGGGGTCAAGGGGAGTGGGAGATGGTTCTTTGCCTTTTTTTGCATCTGGATCTGGTTCACTTAAGGTAGTAACATTATCCGCTGGCGGAGGAAGTCCTTTTGATAAAACTTGGCTGATATTGGGCGGAAGTCCTTTAGTTTGACCTTGTACGGGCGGAGCTCCTTTAGTAAGAGGAGTTGTATAGGTAGGCATAACACCGGAATAACTGGGTGTTCCTTTACTGGCTGTTCCTAGGCCAGCAAGGAACAGGGAAAGGGAAATAAATAATAAAGACTTCATTTTGTTATACTAAAAAAACTTTTTAATGAAACAATTGAGCTTGTTTCTATTTCGTTTAATGAAGGAAAAAAAAAAAACTTATATAATATTTTGTATATATATATATATATATATATATATCTTTTTTTTTTTTTTGCGAATTCTCTACGAAATTTTCATGGTGCTTATATACTAAAAAAAAAATCAGAAATTCGAATTTTGAAATCTAGTTAATAAAACAAGGGGGATTTACACGCTTGTAGATCGATTTTTTAGAATGATTATAATTATTATCCCAATTAAGCTTTATTTTATTATATTAATTACTTTTATTATTAAATAATTAATATGAATTAATTAAAAGCCATCAATTTTGTTGAGTTCTATGATAAAAAAAAAAAAAGCATTTTTGAATCTGGGAATTTCACGAGTTTGCGTCAATCTTAATTTGCGGAACCTCTATATCAGGAATTCTGTATTTGTTAATTTCGATTAACATCACGTGATACAATTTGAATTTTAATAAATTGATTATCTTCATATGAAATGGAGTTGCTTCTTAATCTTTACTCGTAGTGACTTCAGTTAGAAACGCGGGGGTTATTTATTATTTAAGCAGAAATGATGAAGCATTTGATCTCAAAAGTGTAACTAGCCTTTTATGCAATAATGTGGTCGAAAAATTGTTATTTTGGATCAAAAATGTCGTGCGGAAAGTTGAAACTCCAAACGAAATTAACATCGGATAGGTTGAGATTCAAATTATATATCCATAAAATGTTATGTGACATCCCTGTTTATTTTGTAAATCGGAATAACAATCTTGGAATATACAATCACTTTTATTTTACTGAATAAACCGCCTTTCAGAATGGAATTTTTTTTAGTCGTGATAAAGAATTTTTAAACGTTCTCCCAGTTTATATTCTGTTTTTTGAACTTCGAATATCAAAATGTATTTCGTCCATCGCGTTATCAAATTTCTCTATTTTTGTTATCGGTCTTTAAGTAAATATTTATTTATTATAAAAAAAATTAGTGTTATTTATTTCTTTCTTATAATCCTTGCGTAAGTCCAAGCGGATGGTTCTCTCAGTTAGAGGATCCTTATTAACAGTATTTAATTTTTTTTTTTTAAACGGTCCGTTCTTTTTTTTTTCATTCTTTAAAAAAAGAGAACTAAAAAAAAATCAAATCAAAATAATACAAAATAACAGGGGAACGGTGATCATTTATCGGGCTCCTTCATATTCGGCGAAATGAAATGGTCTAATGTTACTTCAATCGCCCAAAGAGGTCGATTTTGATCAACAAACCGAGCTCTTCTTAATCTATCATCCGATGCAACTCTTGAAGAAATTAAGAACCAAGTTTTGATTCGAATAAGGAGGAGGGGGATTCTATGGATTATGTACAGTATTTGAAAACTTACTGGCAAGAAGATTGGAGGGATACTAAGGAAGCTTTTATCAGGGCGGAAGGGATCCGAAATTTAGTACAGTAAACTTAATTAACAAATGGTTAGATCGTAAAGAAAATATGGTAGTTTTAGATGAATTCCATTCATGCTTTATTCCCTCCCTTGAAAACCTGCTTCTCATCATTTTTTACTTTCATTTTAGTTAGCGCTGGCTCCATTTTATCAAAATATTTTAAATTAATAAAGTTTTCGTGGCATATTTGGCGCAGTATCAAGTTCATCAAAATCATATGACTGTCAAATCAAAATCTCTACATTAGTTATAATGCGACGGAAAATTTTTCTTTCTAAACAAAATTTCTTTTCGAGTCCAAAAAAATATATCATATCAAAGGAATAGACAAGACTTTGATCTATTCGGAATAATAAACGTTCAGAAGCAGTCAAATTTATCTAACCGTGTGACCTATTTTTCACCATTCTTTTATTATTGCGCTTTTAAAATGTCTTCACGTATTTCATTCCCAATTGATTTGGCTGCGTGTGTAAACCCTCGTTCTTTTCGAATGAACCTTATTGATGGTCAGCTTGACATAATGTTAACAGCATTCAGTAACGGTATGTCACTTTGCTAAGGCACTACTCTACAAATTAAATGTTTCTTTTCTGTGCTAAACCGTAGATAAAAAAAAAATAGCTCACGGAGAATCTATTTTTACTTACCATATAACCGGCTGGTCCTTGCTAACTCCCACCTAATGCTTCGTAAGGGTCGGGTTCAAAGGCATATCGAACTCGAACCCGTTAATATTACAGAACCTGAATTCGACTCGAGTTCGACTCGGATTCGATTATTGTTTACAGTTGTTTTCATAAGTCACGGGACACTCGGAAAATTTGTTGCCGAGTACTTGCCCGACAACCCAGAAACCCGGCAACTCAGGTTTGCCAAAAAATAACAACAACCACGTGACATAATATAAATAACACATTTGAATTTTAAACGCATTACGATCACTGCAAAATTATAATATGAATTGCCGAGTTGCCGAACAGATCGCCCGATCATCCGGGTCACCCGGGTCAAGCAAAAACGTGACCTTGACCCGGCGGGTATTTTTTGAATTAGGACTCGTGATAGTCCCGACTCGTTTCGGAGCACTGCTCCACCTGGCTAGAGAACTTCCCAGGTGAATTACTCAAACATCATGTCCATTATGTTGAAACTTTTTTTCAGTTTGCTAAAGTCACGTCTTTTGTTATTATAAGGATGTTATAAGCTATTAAACGGTGATGTTATGGGCCCCGATTTTGCTATTGTACTTCATATCAGGTTTCTAAACATCATCAAATATAAAATTAACTTGCATTTTTTCATCCTTTTTTAAAAATTTTACGTTATTACTGCAGGTGGGACGATCTAACAAACGCACAAAAAGATGAAGCATATCCGTCAGTCGCACCTAACTTTGTTGTGGAGTTACGTCACAGCCTGACTCACCAATATGTCCATCATAAAATGTTGCGATGGATTAATGGTGGCGTTGAGACTATGATGGCTATTTCCTTATAGATCTAAATTAGTTAATATTGGATAGTCGATTGATCGATTTGTAAACTCGCCCGAAGTGAGAAGAATATATATGTTGAATGCAAATACAAATCAAGTCCTTAATGGATTTGTAATTAATACGCGAGTTGTCTTTTGTATGAAAAATATTAAATGACAGAATTAGGTAATTGTTAGCATTTAATGGTCGAATGATTAGAGTTAACAAGCGACTAAATGAGCTGTCCGTTCTTTAGGCTTTCATTTAAATAAATCAAGCATTTTTTTTTTTTGCAGTAATTTGTTACAAATAAAGTTTCGCCTGATTGGGCTTTATTCTTTTAATCGTGTATGCTGTGTGTGTATCGGAGAAATTTTTATTGTAATTCCGGATAAATAAAATTATAGACGAAAGAAAAAAAATAATAGTAAAATCGCAAAAGCATTTAAAGTTTTGAGTTTATTTAATGAGACCCAACTCTAAAAGATGATTTGGAATGTATGGATTCTCGTAGATTTATAGTTAAAAATTTGAATTTTTAAAAAAACGTCTACCACATATATAATCGAACCGCAAAATTAAGTTGAACGGTGGCTTTTGCAATAATAATAATCACTTGATTTCTTACAAGAGGATTCTTTTTATCATAATTGTTATTTTTTTAACAGACGATCTCCGCAAAGCATAAAATTTATTCAAAGCAACAATCGAATTTCAGGCGAGCAAATAATACTTTTTGAACAGTACATTAAATCAATAGTGCGTCATTCTTACATACAAGATTACCAATTAAAGTAAAATATCAGTTTTATTATAGTTTTTGGAATATTATTAAAAAGAATTTACTTTTAGAGAAACTAATAAATTATTTAAAAAAAAATTATATTATTATTATAAGATTATTCTCTAAATTTTTAGAACTTCATTAAAAAATAAAGGTGAAATTAAATTAATTAATAGGAAGAAAGGTTCATTTTTTAAAATAAGAAAACGGAAGCCAAGGATGCACCGATCATCATTGTCAAACTTCCTTTAACGTTGGAGGCACCGGATGAACCATATGTTCCTTGAGACAATTGATAATTGAAATCGTCTGGATCGGTATCTTCTGGTTTTCCAACATTACCGTCCAAGAATTCAATACCACATTTAACTCCGATAAAAAGTTTACCGATTTGTAAGAAAAGTGGAGGGACACCAAGTTGTCCTAAATATTCTACGGAATGATTTGTATCAGCGTTGAGGAAGTTAAAAATAGTGTTGATTATGGCTTTGTTGCATGGAGTGCAAATCTCTTTAGGTTCAGCAAGGGCGATGGAATCAATCAAACCACCATCGATAAGCTTAAATGGAGGTTTAGGTAAGGCAGTCACTTTATCCAAAGTTTCGAATACACAGTACTCTTGTTTTTTGTCTTTGAAGCAGATCGTATCTCTAAGCGGGGAATAGAATGTGACGACAGCAGTCGCGATTTCTATAATTAAATTCTTCTCATCAGCCTGGCAGCCATCATTTAAGGCTTTAAGAGAGGCGGCAACACCTTCGTCAGAACATTTAGGTGCAGCACAAATACCATCAAATACCGGTCCAAATATTGGAGGTATATTTTTAGCAGGATCTTGTAACATTTTTGGAATGGCAGTTGGATCAGTTAGAACCGGTAACAATGGCAAAAGCGCTGGGATTGGTACGCATTCAAAGAATTCTGGGTTTGCTACGATGCTAAGTAAAGAGGCTTGACAACTTGGTGATAATGATTCGATCATTGTGATGGGGTTAGAAGCGACATCGCTCAAAACATCGGCCATTGCGGTAGCAGCAAAGAAGAGAGAAGTAAATAAGAATTTCTTCATTTTGGTTATTATTCGTATTATGGAATCGGGTTTTATTGTTTTAAATGAAGGGGTATTTTTTTATTTTTTTGTTCACGACAAACTTCTTTCGGCAAATTTTTCGTCGTGTTTATATATTAAAAAAAAAGCTGGTGTTGATCTTTGATCCGCAATGAGAAAAATTTCTTTTTTGGAACAAAGTTAAATAAATTCATGTGAAAATTTGTTTTTAAAAAGGACACTCAATTTGGTTTTATTTTGAATGAATAATAAAAAAACGAAAGATGTCTACAAGTTAATTTTCAGCCGTTATATTTTTAAATAATTCATTTATAATTGTCAAAGTTAGACAAAAATGATAATAATAATGGCCCATTTGACAGTTTTAGAATAGTTTTACGAGGATGAATAGAAATAAAATAAATAAAAATAAATTTATATAGAGTCAAGAACCCGATATAACGATCCTCCCGGTTTATTATAAATTTTTTTTAAAAAAATCGTTTAAACGAGAATTCATTATATCAAGAGTTCGTTATAACGAGCTCTGACTGACTGTACCTTGCTGCGCAACCTTTATTATATAAATCCACTTACCATATGCGAAAACTATAATATCTGATAAATCCGGGGATTTCACTTATATTTACCTTAAAAGAGATTTCATTTTATAATATATTAAGACTCCCACTTGATCATCCACTTACTAACTAAATCTGGAAAATTTCAAATGGAGAATTCAGCGATATTCGAATTATCTGCCACACATGATTTTTAATTTGGATATTTGGCCACCACACTTCTTTGATAATTTTCTCAACCATTTCTTTTTTTAACAACATCATGCTTCATGCTTTAAGATCATGACGCAAAGTGTGAACTTTTCTAAACGTTGTCAATTTTCATTCATGATTAAAATAAATTTTTACTTGTACTACTAACTAAAGTCGATCTTTTTTGAAGTTTCATCTAAATTTAATATAAACAAAATTTGATTTAACTCTTCCAAATATGGATGGACCCGACTAAAAACACCGCATTAAAAAATTAAGAAGCGATCATGAGATCATCAGTGATCCACGGAATATCCCGCTGGCGCTATAAACTAAAAACGAAAAAAAAAAATCTATAAAAAAATGCCTCCTTTATTATCTTTATTATTTTTAACACGTCTTTATTTTTTCCTTTTAACATTAATTATTATTTGTTGCTCATTAATTGAATCTCTTCGAAAAATTAATAAAGTATATGGAAAATTAGAAGATACAATTTCCCATAAAACATGGTTGACTTCCAAATTATCAGTTCCAAAATATTATTTCAGATATTTTTATATTACTGGATTTCTTTGGATTTCATATATTATTATCGAGATTATTTTATTTAAAAATAATTTTATTGGAATATTTTCAATATTTGTTCATTTATTTGAAAATACCAATAATGAGGAAATTTATAAGGAATATTATGGAAAACAACCAGTGGAAGAATGTATTTTGGCTTTGTTTATGATGGAAGTTCAAACGATACGTAGAGCCTATGAATGTTTTTTTGTTGAAAAACCTTCTCCAAATTCTAAAATGCTTATAACTCACCATATCGTTGGAATGACTTTTTATCTTGCTACTGGATTAGCCGTTTTTATTGAAGGTCTTTGGAATTTAGGTGTCTTCAATAAAGGTAAGTTTCAATGGTTTTCTTTAAATACTTTGTTAAATTAATTTATTAATAACTTATGCTAATACTGTCATTTAGATCAATTTACTTCTTTACCTCCCCTTACGAATTTTATTAAATGGAATACAATGATCGCACTATCTCTTTTCATCTATGCATCTTATCATCAAAATGTTTTACACAATCATTTAGCATCACTTCGTCCTTCTAATACTTCAAATACTTCTTATGTTCCAATTTATCTGATCCCAAAGGGAGATTGGTTTGAATATATTTCCTCGGCACATTATTTTGCGGAAATATTGATTTACGTTAGTTTTGTTATATTAACCAGAGGGATGAATCTAACCGTGTGGTTGGTATTGATTTGGACTATTATTGGTTTGAGTACTATAGCAAGGGAAAGTGATTTATGGGGAAAAGAAAAGTTTGGCGAAAAATGGCCCAATAGATGGTTAATAATCCCATTTATATATTAAAAGCGTTTGAGAAACAAATAAATAAATTTAAATATTATTTTGAATTGGTTTATTCTGAATGATTAACAATCAATTTTATTAAATTATTTTGAATAGCATCATGATCTATAATGATTTGCATATCTTTAGAAAATACTTGCAAATTATTAAAGCTAGTGTTTAAAATAGCAAACTACACTTGATGGTATTTTTGAAAGATAATAATGTTCATTTATTTTAGTAATTAGTATTTTTATAATATGGTTTATCTTACAATCTAATTAAAATAAAAGGATCATATCACATGAAAAAAATTATTCATTTGGATTTATATCAACGGAATTTTATATAGAATTCATTTTTGATAGTAAGTGAAATTAATTAGACCAATTTGAAAAATTATTGATTTGTTTTAAATTAATTTCATCTTTATTTACAAATTTTGTATTACAACCAATATTTTTTGTTAAGAGCATTTATATCTGAAAAATATAATAAAATTATATTTTTTCATACATGCGTTGGTATAAGTTAAAAAATAATTTATATAGCTTAAATTTGAAATGTGATAATTGGAACTTTTTCGTTTCACGATTTCAAGTTGACACGTATTCACTTAATAGAAATGCCCGAGTTTCTGTGACATGTACTATTTTTTTTTTTAATAAAAAATGTATTTTTATAGTATGATTTTTACATTAAAGAATAAAAATTAGCATTCATTTACTTTCAATAAATTTTTTTTTATAATCACACTAAATCAAAATTTTATATAGATGCGACTATATAATAAAAACCTCACTATAAGCACGCACCTTTATAATCACACCATTTGATGGTCCCAAAGGTGTGATTATAGAGGGGGACGACTGTATTAAAATTAATTTAATTATTTTTTTTATTTACTCTTACTTATAAATATAGTTATAATCATTCTTTATTTTGCTAAAATATAATGCTAGTCACATCTAAATTATAATTTTATATATTATTAAAAAAAGGTTAGAAGATAATATATATTTAGAAAAGGTTTCACTATTTTCAAATCTTAAGCGTTAATAAATGATCATAATATTGTTTTAAACGCTTCAATTCCTTCATTGTCTGATACTACTATTATTTCTTCATCTGAAACATACCTCTTATTTTCTCATCATCTAATTCAAGATCTTGCATATTAATATCATCTATAATATAATCAGAAAATGGTAATATGCTGTTTTAATCCAACAATTTCAGATAGTTAATTATGTAATGTTCTCCTATATTCAGCAATATAATCGATTACCTCTTTAATATTTAGTTATTTAAATTATTAAATTAATAATAAATTTTATAAATTAAATAAAATATTATAGAAATTTATTAAAATTACATTACTCAATTTATTTTACTATCAAATTAATAAATTATTTAATTACAAAACTCTTTTTTATATTTGGTTTTAAAACTATAAATAATATAGATCATAAATGAGCCATAGTATTTAATGAAAGATAAATAATCTTATTATTAGTAAGTCTAATATTTAGTTTCTTTTTATTGTTTTATTTTTAATATTTTTCTATTTTAAGTTAAATGTGATGATTATACAATTATTTCATCATTGTCAAAGTCATTCTCATTTAAATTAGATTTAATTTTTTTCTAATACTTTTAGATTAAAGTAAGATTCTGCATTATCAATTAAAAGTTATATTTTTTGATCTATTACATAAAAATAATTATCAAGATAATTAAATTATTTATTAAAAATATTAAATCTTATTCATGTATTTGAATTAGCATGAGATTATAAAAAGAACCAATTTGTTAAATTTTAAAATATTGAGAATTAAGCAATTTTCTAATTATAAAAAGATAGAATTTATGAAAACCTGTAATATTATTATAAAAAGAATAAAAATTTAAATTTTATCTTATAAAATTAGTAGTAATTATTAGAATATTATCATTAAAATTTATATTTTTTTAGAAATAAAAAATTTAAAATTATGAAAAATTTAATAATTTATTAAAATTATAATTATTAAATAATTTTGTAAATAGAATTATATATAATATATAAAAATAAAATTACAATTACAATTTGTAATTACAGTTAACTCTTGTTATAACTAACTTTATGTCCTAGACCTCAACTTCGCTATAAAGCTATAGTAAAGATTTTAAGAGATTAAATTGGCCAATTCGCTATAACAAAAGTATTTTTATTATATTTGTTCAAAAAATTCATTATATCAAGAGTTCGCTATATCAAAAGTTGATTGTATTAATTATTAGATAATTTTAATTAAATAGAATTATTCATTATATACAAAATATTTTAAATATTAATATAATTTTATATAATTTTATAAATCTTTTTCTTTTTTCTTTAATTATTAAAAAATTAAATTTTAACAATTTTTTCAAAATTTTTATTATTAAAAATATTAAATATAATTGATTAGGACAATACTGACATATAATAATTGATTAACAAAAGGAAAAACAAAAATTATAATATTAAAATATACTAGTATTATTTCATTTGATATGATTTATTTTATCAATAGTTTATTTTTATTTTTTTTATCAAATTTTATATTATAAATTAATTATTAATAGAAAAATAAAAAAATAAAATTTCACATTTAAAAGATTATAATAATAAAAAAAGAAAATTTTAATTTAACAAAAATATATTATTTATAGTTATTTTACATATTTTATCAATATTATATATTAATTTAGATAAACTATTTAATAAATAAATAATATAATTTATTAAAAATATAAATTATAGCATTTATAATTTTTTAATTTACAAAATATATTTTTTTTTATAAAATATTAAAGAAATGATTATTAGTAAAATATTTATTAGCTAAATGAATATATCGGCAAAATGATTGTGCTAGTAAAATAATAGTTAGTAAAATATTTGTTAGTGAAATAATTCTGTAAAAGTTTATTAGTAAAATAATATTGGTAAATTATTTGTAGGTAAAATGAATATAACCTAAATATTTAAACTTATTTTAATCTAAATTTAATTTTTATTTTACTAAAAAATTTAAATATTTCTTATTTTTTAATTTTATTTATCTAAAAAGATTCATCTTATCATAAAGATTTATTTTATTATTATTACCATCTAATATCTAAATACTATTATAAATTAAAAATTCTTTTATATAATTTATATATTTTAAATATAACTATTACTTTAACTATTAACATTTTTATTATTCTCTCAAATTATTATTATTTTTTTTCTTTCTTAAATTTTATATTCAGTTTTTTTTTAATATTTTTTGATTTTCTTCTAAAAAAAACTTTTTCTTAAATAAAGCTTATCACCTGAAATCCTACAAATATCTCAATACCCAAAATCCTGACAGTTCAGAATTCCAATTCTAAAATTCTGACATATCTAAAATCCTGATAGACTATAACCTGAATGGACATAATTCTAACTATTCAAAATCCTGATTTATAATCTTTAAAAAAGACTATAGTGCAATACTGATATATTTTAAATGTGATAATTATTAAAATATATTAAACTAGTATTAGAATTAAGTCAGGATTAGGATTAGGATTAAAAATGTATTATATTTTTTTATTGCGTTAAATTAGGATTAGATTAGGGTTAGAGTTAAGTTTCAGGATTTTAACAATTAGAATTATATTTATTCAGAATTAAAGATCATCGAAATTATAAACTATTAGGATTTTAGATATGTTAGGATTTTGGAACCAGGATTCTAAACTATTAGGATTTTGGATGTTAAGATATCATCATAAATCCTATCACCTCTATGTATTATTCAAAATTAATAATTATAAGCTAATATATATCTAATCAAAAGTAAACATACTTTAACATTTATAAATTTATTTTATTTAAGTTTTATTTTTTTATTTTATTATATATTATTAATAATTAATACTTTTCAACTAATTAGTAATTTTTGAACTTAACTAAATTGAGTTAAACTAATAACATTCTTAATAAATTTTAATATTATGTAATTTTTATAATTGTATAGAAGTTAAAATTCTTACTGTGATTATATAAAAAATAAATTTCATATATTAATTAAAATATCAGATTTTATAAATAATATGATTATATTTTACAATATACCTATAATTATAAATAGTGTATTTTTTATTTAAAAGATTAAACTAATTAAATATGACTAAAGTAAAAAAAATAATTATATAAGAGATGATTATAAAAGAAGATGATTATATTAATTTCAATTTTTTAAGTTTTAAAAATAACTTATTTAATAATCACAAAATATAAAATTTGATTTATTAAATTTATCACATTAAAATCTATTAAATTATATTTTTAAAATTAATAGATAATAAATTACATAAGATTATAATTTTAATTTTTTTTAATGTTAATTATTATATTTATTTTAAAACTTACTAGTTAATTATATTTTTTTAATTTTTACTTAGAAATATAAAATTTATTATAAAAATATTAATACTTTAAATTTTTTTAAAAATATTTAAAATAATTAAAAATAATTTTATTTAGTAAATAAAATTACAGATATTTACCTATAATATTATTAAAGGAATAATATTATATTTAACTAAAATAGATTTAATTATTTATAATATTTAAATTTTAATATTAAATAGAATTTTAATAAAATGTATAAAATTTTATAAATTAAAAAGAAACTATTAATCATTTTTCTTTATTTTTTAAATTTATTAATAATAATTTTATTAACATTTAATTTAAAAAATAAATAATATTTATTATTTATTTTATATTAAAATTTTAATTATATATTTACATTTTTTTCAATTAATATTAAAAAAATATATATTTTTTAAAAAATAGTTATATTAAATAAATAAATATTAAAATAAATATCAAAGTAATTATTATATAAATATATAGGTGTTTTGTAATAGAAGGTAAGGAAATTACCAAAAAAATTTTTTTGAGTTAATGTTAAATCTGGATTTATTTACTAAAAAAATAATATTTAATTTAGAAA